TTTTTTTTTTTTTTTTTCTTTTTTTCTGAGACTGTCTCCTGTTGAGTGTTAACTGTCACAAGTTCCTAAGCGTGGATATTTCTCGAAGTTTCCGTGGCTCGGGGCTTGTGTCTTGCTTGCTTGTTTGCTTGATGGATGGGGGATGGCTCCGCCCACCCCAGGTGGATTTAGCTCCTGGGTGGAGGGGACAGTTTGGTCCTCACTGGCTTGCTGGTGCTTCAGGGTGTCTTTGGCAAATGTTTCAGAATGCTTCTAGGAATTTCCAGCCTTCTTAATTCCCCAGGTGGGGTTTGGGCTAGTTGAGAAAACTAAGATGGTGACTGGTGGGGGCAAAGATGGCTGGGGGAGGAAGGAGGAGGATGAGGGAGACCAGAGCGGAAAACAACATGGAGGTGGGCCTGCCCCTCCAACCAAGGGGGGGCAGTGCAGCCAATAATACACGGTCAGCATGGCAACCTGTGATGTCAGGGAAGGGAGGTGGGGCCAGAGCGAGCCTAATTGAACCAGGAAACCTCACTGTGGTCCAGGCACAGTCCTTCCAGCTCGAGTCTCAGTTTTTACATCTGCAAAGTGAAAAGGAGAGCTGATTTTGGGGGAAAACAAACACATATATCGAGGGCCTTTTCTTATGCCCCTCCCTTTCCTTCTCCAGCCAGCATGGGGGAGGAGTATAGAGATTCAGCTTTACCCTGGACAAGGGTGATGGATACTGACAAGCCCCCTGGAAAATTCCTCTAATCCACTGTATGAGTGTGCTTCAAGTCTTCCTTCTTAGTAGCTCTACAAGCGAGCTTAATAGCTGGCTGGGGAAAAGTGTTCACCAGCAGGTGCTCCTTAACCTCAAGGAGCCCATGATGGGTTGTTTGTTTGTTTGTTTGTTTTAATTGGGCAAAGTTAATTGTAGCGTCGAGACGTCCTCAGAGTCTATGGTACCAACTCACTGGGGCAGACTAATAAGGTGGGCAGCAGGGGTCTGGGGACCCCAGTTCAGCCATATTTGTTTGCCTATGCAGTTTCCAACCTGGAGGTGGCGTTCTTGTTCATGGTTTCTGAAGTGTCTGGAAGCCTCGCTATGAGCCATATTCCCAGCCACCATTTTGAGCGGTCTCACAGGCCTCCATTTTCCTTCCCTGACCCCGAGCCTCCCTCCCTCCCTCCCTCCAAGAGTGCTAGCCCTTATCTCTTCAAAGGACTGAGGGATTAGCCTGCAATGCATGAGACTCACAAAGCCTCAGGAAAAAGGACATGTGGAGATGGCTTTTCAAAGCAGAAACTACTTTTCCCAAGCCCAGTTCTCCCCCTAGACTATTGTGGGAATCAGCCACTTCAGACAGGAGAAAATGGCCCTGACACATCACATCTATATGCCAGTTAAGCAACTCTAGGAGCCCAAAATGCTGCAGAAACACTGATTTTGCTGCCCAGGTTGGCAGCCCCTTGGTCTGTAGCACGTAGGTTATGCCTAGGTCTCCTGCTCTGTTCATTCTTTATTTTGGGAAGAAGTTGCCTAATGGCTTGGCTTTGTAAAAAAAAAATCCTTTTGGAAGTGCAACATACTGTATGAAATCACAGCTCAGTAGATTTTCACAAAGTAAACATGCTCACATAACCAACACCTAGATCAGGAAAGAGAGCATGAGAAGACCCCCCCCCAGCACACACACACACACACACACACACACACACACACACACGCACGTACACACAAGTGCCCCTAACCAACTGCATCCTCCTTGTACCCGAAACCTTGTTACACCACACACTGATTTGGGCTGATGGCTTTTAAAAAAGCTTCTACTTACATTTTTGTTCAAATACATATGCATATATAAAGTTCTGATGGACTTCACAGATAGAAGAAAATGATAGTATTGCACCGAATATTTGTGAATAATGTATTCATGCTTCAACTATCCAGTCAGTATTCAGATCTCCTATTGGGTCATAAATGGTGTTTTTATAGTTTGTTTTGAAAAATCAGGATTCAAATAAGATGTGTGTAGTAATAGATTGAAATTTTTACTTTTACATGATTCATATTGATGCAGAACCTCTACCCAGAGAAATTCTCAAATCATAAGCGTACAGGTGAAGAGTAGGGTCAGAAAATGACCACACCAGCATAAACAAAGCTGAGCAAAGGGCTGCCATAGGACAAGCAGCTCAGAAGCCTGCAGTATCCCTCACTGCAGCCTCCCAGAAACGTAGCCCCAGTCTGAGGGGAGTACAGATATGAGCAGATGGCTTTTATGAAAGGATCACTAGTATTACTGTATTATCATTATCAATATCATTATCATTGCCGTTATTGGTGCTCGGCCTCAGCACTAAAATGAATTCCTGTTGGCCATCCATTTTCCAAATGTCTTGCAGTGCCACTCTACCATTCTGTCCTCGCCTTGTGCCCTCAATGCAAAAAGTATTGCAAACCCCACAGAGCTACAGCATATTTTTCCCTCTTCTGGCCCTTTATCAGAGAGGCTGCCCCAGCTCCTGCATGCAAGCATCCCTGGGCTTGGCCTGCCTTTGACCCCCGGCTGGTGCTGTGAGGCTCAAGGGAGGCCCAGGCAGCAAGAGGGGCAAGGGCCATGGCTCATACAAGAATGCCCTCTGACTTTAGCCTACATTGAATAGCCTTTGAAAATCCAGGTCTTTGTTGGTGGTGTTGTCTTTTTGTGAATAAAGAATGATGAAAGAGGAGTAGCATAGAAAATTCCCAAAGAATGGAAAGATTTAAAAGAAGTTAACCAATCTAATCTGGTACTGCTTCATAGTTTACGGTTACCAGATTCTAATTAAGCCCTACAGTGAAAATATTTTTGCTTGCTTCTGTCCCCAGAGGTGCCAGGTGCAGCCCCACCACAGTGGACTGCAGCGTTTGACTTTTTGTTGGTATATTCTAGGCTGGTGGGACTTTACACTTCAGTGGAAGATGCAGACGCTCACCATGATGACGACATTTACGACCCCCAGCCCCAGCCTCCACCTCGGCCCCAGCCTCAGCCTCGGCCCCAGCCCCAGCCCCAGCCCCAGCCCCAGCCTCAGCCTCTGCCCCAGCCTCAGCCTCAGCCCCTGCCTCAGCCTCAGCCTCTGGGCAGGAAGCTTCTCTCTGAAGAAATAAAGCCTGTTGTTGCCCCTGTGGCTGCTGCCACCACAGCCCCTGTGGTTGCTGCCACCACTGCTGTCACGACTGCTATGGAGGCCCCAAGCAAACGCAGCAAATTGGCAGAAGCCACTAATATCCTGGACACGATTCTGAAAAACCATGACCCCAAGCTGCGCCCTGGCATTGGTGGTAAGTAACAGACCCCCGCTTTAGAAGGAGGGAGGAAGGTGGGTTGTGGTCACAGGTGTAGGGGAATGGGCTCCCGGAAGGTAGGTGAAGGGTCCACACCAGGAACAGAAAGGTCTGCTGCTGGCCTGTTGGATAATCCATAGCAAGTCTAGTCTCAGCAGAGCCAGGAATGTTGGAGACTTCCCAATGCTGAAAAGAAATGGCTGGACTACCTGAGTGACCTGCAAGCTTTATGTCGAGGCCGTCACAGTGCAGGTGCCCACTCTTGCCATGAAAGGGCACATAAGGACCAAGGATTGCTCCTCTGCCTTTCTTTTTTTTTCTCTTTCTCCTTTCTTTCTTTCTTTCTTTCTTTCTTTCTTTCTTTCTTTCTTTCTTTCTTTCTTTCTTTCTTCTTCTTCTTCTTTTTTCAGAACCAGAGATTGAACTCAGGCCCTTGCACTTGCCAGGGAAGTGTTTATTCTATAGAGCCGTTTCCCCGGCCCCCCTCTTTCCTCCTTTCTGCCCACACCCTGGTACCCCTGCTCATGCTCACCCCCTGCTTCTTTGCTTCCTTTCCAGTGAGGCCCACCGTGGTCAGCGTTGAGGTCTACGTCAATAGCCTGGGCCCTATCTCCATCCTGGACATGGTGAGTGCTGAGCTTTGATTCCACTGTTTCTGATCCCGGGGGCTGAGCTGTGGGACCTGCCACGTACTCGTGCTTTCTCATCTGTGTTTCTGCAACAATTCTCAGAGGCTGGATTTGGTTGGGTTTGGAAGGGGGGAGATTGGAATTGTTCTTGCTGTGGGAGCGAGGCTAGAGAGGTAAGTCTTTGCTGCCTGAAGAGGACCTCTGCAGGCATGACCACATCGTCCAGTAAAATAAAGCAGCTTGAAACAGCACGGTGGAGTGGTTCTTTCTGTGATCATTTATGTGGCTTTAAGTGTGGCTTCCAGGTATTGCCCTGCAATTGTGTCTCCAATTGTATCCTAGTTCCTCCTGGTATTTATACAGGTGCCCTTGTTGGCACTTCACATGAGAAGCCCTGTGCCTCCCCAAAGCCTTGTGCTGAGGATGCAGCTCAGCCCCTGCCCCCGCCAGCAGTCCTGGCCTTGCACGGCGCTGTGCTCTTCCACATGCTCTGATCAGTACTAAAATAGGAACATTGCCAGACCACCTTGTGCCTCCGAGCCGAGCTCTGCTCAGTCTGCTACTTGACATGACGCTGCTCTATTTTCTTAATGTCACAAGCTTTTTCCCTCAGAGTCAAGCTCAGAAGACCTTTTGTCCATGGCTATTAATGTTACCCTTCTTGTACCACACCGCATTCTGGGCACTCATGTCTTTCTGCTTTATACCTAGCTTGCTTTGCTCTTACCTCAGTTTATGGTAATTATTTGCTTTGTGTCTACCTTGCTCTTTCTGCCATGGACCCCTTCATGCCAAGGATTCAGCATAAGTTAACTAGCCAAATGTGTTATGAAGGACGCTCCATAAGTCACCTATACCTGTGGAGCCTGACAGTGAGGCAGGCTTTGATAACCAGTGTCATTGTAGCTATAGACTGGCCTTAGGCAAGGGTAGAAACAGTTCTCACGTACCCACCAGTATCCACCAAACTCTATGTAGTTCGGTAAAAGTGGGTTTTAGATGGGCCTTGCACTGGTAAGTAACCCTGAGGGAAGATCTGGTATGGCTTGTCTGTAGCGCACATCATCTCATAAAGCTGTGAAAGGACTGCGTTCTGGCACGGCCTGCTTTCTCCTGGTGCTCTTGATGAGGAAGAGGATGCAGCTTTTTCTGCTACTCTGGTGTAGAAAGCATCACTGCTTAGAGCACGTGTGTCTCTGTGGATCCTCATGGTAGGCCAAGTAACAACTCAGACTGCCATGAAGGGCCCCTTTTCCTTTCAAAGTACCACAGCCTCCCAGTGAGACCATTTCAGTCAATCAGCTGTGTAGCTTGTAGGCCTTGTCCTCAGAAAAGGATGCCTGAGCCCAAGGCAGGTTGATTTCCATCAGATGTTCCTCCGGGCTCCTGGCTAAACTTGGAAGCACTCAGTTTGAGCTTAAAGGGCAGTGGTCACATAGGATGTATACCCCCTGCACCATCAGCACTTGCCCATGCTTTCTGACTGTGCTAATTATTGCAGGAGAATAGAATTAAGCCACTCCCTACATACTAAATGTTGAGTTTTAGCTGAGCTAAAATACATGCACTTTACATTCCCAATTCCCTTGTCAAACTGGGAAAAACAGTGGACCATTAGTTCTCGGCTGATATGTAAAGAATTTACAACTGATATTGTGTTAACTAGAAGTTAAGTGCTCATTTGAAACACTTCATAACAGACCGTAACCACAGTGTGGGCATGGAGGAGAAGGCTTCCCACCGGCTGCTGAGGGTTCACAGTGGACTAGGAGACTGCCGGCTCGCTGGGGCCTCCAGCTGCTCGGGAACATGCAAACAACCCGAGGGCCCTGTGTAAAGGCAGGGGGGGGCAGGCAGTCAGAGTGGGCTACGGGCTTCCTGCGCAGATGCTCTGCGTGCTCTTGAGTGCTTGTCTGCTCCTTCAGCCTACTCCAGTGCAAAGCCATGGTAACGGGGCTGCAAGTGGCACAGCCACTGTGCTGCCTTGTTTGTGTGACTTGGGGAAGCCCCTATGCCCTCGGGTCTCAGTTTCCCTACCTTTAAAATAAAGGAAGGGGACAAGCCCTCAAGAGTGGTGCTGAGGTGCTCCTCTGGCACGCGCTGCTCAGAATGCCTGCAGCTGTACTGCCGTCAGGTCTTCTCCTTTGAATACCAGCCGCGCACGCTTCCAGATTCTTTCAGAAACTTCTTTTGTGATGTTTAACAGTTTATGAGATAGACAATATTTAGAGAGCAGATAATCATAGATACAGCTATGCATGTGCACACACACTGACACACACCCTCACGCACACCCTCATAGACACACACACACACACACACACACACACACACATCTAGACATTATAGGCACTTATTTGAAAGGCAAAACAAGGCAGAAAAATGATTCTCCTTATTTAAAAAACATGAGATTAGATAGACATTTCTCTTGTGAATCAAAGTACTTCATTTTTTAATATAATTCTGAGGAATGAAGGATTGAGGTTAATTAACATCTGTGCTCCCCAAATAAAAGCTGAAGGGAGAAACTCGGCTGCATACAGTAAAAGATGCATGTGCTTATAAATCTTTCAAATGATTTTGAGCTGGGCTCACTGATTTGCCATGGCTCTGTGGGGCCGAGAGGGCATTAGCCTTCCAGGGGTAGCACCACAGCCCTGCACAGCATGAGGACATACTGAGTCCCCACATGCCATTGAGCCCCCGTCACCTGTTTCTACATGGAATATGTCTTCCTGGACTTGCACCACATCTATTTAGGAATACCACTTACCTTTGAGAACTCCTGGGAATAGAAAACTTTTACAGTCAATCTTTAAGGCTGTTTTCCTCTATCACACCTGAGTGAACCCCGAAGGTTCTACCAGTGGGGCCCTTGGCCACAAGTGGGGAAGGCTGTTAGCATCAGCCCTGCACACTGGGTGGTTTGGGAGGATCACACCCAAATTATTTCTAGTCTTCCATTTAACAGAGGATTAAAGGCAAACATGTATGTTTCTAATAGTTCTTTTCCTTTCCATATTCCTTTAGAACCATTTCTAGGGCACATGTGCTTTTCTGTAGTGCCACTCAGTATCAGCTGGCTCTCCTGTTGTCTTCCTTACCTTGACACACAGTTCCAATTTCCTGTTCTCATGTGTGGACATAGGAGGTTGTTTGTAGTGACCAGGTCTTATATTGCTTCTTAGCTTGGCTGTGAAACGTTCATTTATAAGGAAAAATGAAAACCCTTGTTGCCCTTAAGCATGTGCTGACTGGGAGTCTGAGAATCTAGACTAGCAGAGCCAATAGGACTTTCCAAGATCACCAGACCTCACCTACCCTACTGTTCTATGATGCTGAGCCTTCAGACACCTAGAAACCACGAGCACCCTTGACTCTACCTACAAAGGATGATCAAAATACATGGCACGTGCTTACATTCACATTTACTGCAGTGCATCCCCACGAAATCCTCACCCTAACTTTGAACACACCCTATCATTCTTGCTACTATCTGTTATGCAAATTCTCCTTTGTGAATATCTTCATGAGGTATAATAAAAGATATGGCAAATACTGCTACCAAGTACCATCCAACAGAAAGGCACACTTATAAAAATATTACATTGTGCCCTCATCCTCCTGATGCACAGGATCCAGCATGAGGCAATTTCTGGCTCTCCCAAAGTCAAAATAGTATAAGAGGTCAATGTTTTGAACACTTCGAGACGTGAAGGCAGCATGCCTGAACACTCAAGAAAGACTTTCAGAATTGTTTCAGAAAGTGGCATGAACAATAGTGTGTTCAAATGAAGAGTATTTTGAGGGGATCAATGGCATTATGTTATGTGCTGTCATATTTGCCCTTCTGTTGGGCAATGCATTCTTTTTCAAATGGTGGAATCGCTTCAAGATATGTGGTGGTTCTTGCAGAGTAAAAAGCACAGAGTGAGCAGCAGTGCCCTGCACGAGGTTCTGTGAGCTGTCTGCAGACCTTGGGAGCATGAGGCTGTTTGCACCTTGGCAAGATCATATATGAATAGTCTGTCAATTGACACTGCGGTCCTTGCAGGAAAGAGCAAACTCAAGAGGGCATGACTTATTATTAGGTGCCTTTTGTTAACTCAAAGTTGTTTCTGCTTTAAGATATACAAATTTAAATCAGTTTGTTAAGATAGCAAGGCAAAAATGAGACATTAAAAATATGTGTCCAGGGCTAGGGAGATAGCTCAATGGTATAAGCGCCTGCCTGGCAAGCACAAGGTCCTGAGTTCGGTCCCTGCACCACAAAATAAGTGTCCATTGGAAGATATATCCTGGTTTGTAAAATGTAGGGGGAAAAAAGCATCTTAAATTCCATAAATTTCATTTTTGGAGGTCTACTCTTGTGGATCAGGACTTTAGACCTACTCTGTGCTTGCTGAGGTGGGGTGAGAAGAAGGTTTCTAAGTGAGAATAGGGAGCTCCATTTAAAGCAAGCCTTCCTATCCTGAGCCATGTGAGAATGGTGCCAACTGCTCCATAATATAGGGGCCCTGTTCCCTTTGCTGTGGAAATCAAGGGGGACTTGCTGACTTCACTGCCAGGATCACTGGGCCTGGGTCCCTTCCGGCCCTGACATTGCACGAGTGTCTGGCAGGGGGCAGGAACTCATCCCACTCATGCTTCCTCATCTAGTGTTGTGTGCAGTCCACCACCTCGCCTTTCCCACTGAAAGTTAGAAGGCGGTGCATGTGTACTGATGTCCTTCATCGGCTCAGCTCCCAGAGCGTTTGGTTTTCCGTCCTTCTCACCAGGAATACACCATCGACCTCATGTTCTACCAGACTTGGTATGATGAACGCCTCCGCTACAATAACACCTTTGAGAGCCTTGTTCTGAACCATGACATGGTGCACGAGCTGTGGATCCCAGACACCTTCTTTAAGAATTCTAGGAAGGCCGTGGAGCATGAGATCACCTTGCCCAACCAGATGGTCCGCATCTACAAGGATGGCAGGGTGCTGTACACAATTAGGTAGGCCAAGCCTCTGGTGTCTTGCCTCCTAGGAGTCTCCCTCCCTCTAGGGAATTTAGCCCAAGACGTTGCCCAGAGACCTGAACAATGTTCCTAAGAGAGGGCCTTTCTGGTTTTCTTAGACCATAAGCTCACCTTCTTCATTTAAAAACATAGAGACAGGCCTCAAAGATTTCTGTTTAAAGCCACAGACCAAGGTTATGGCAAAGCCAGTTACTTGGCTCCCAGTGCAGAACTCCCTCAACTAAGTGTACCAGTACAACTGCATTGCCTGGACAATTCCATCCCGGGAGGACAATGGATGTAGAGGCACGTCCACGGTGGTGGAATTGTCCAGGAGGAGCAGCAACACAGCGGTTGGAAGCTAAGAGCAGGTTAGATATTGCCAGGTGTTCCTGGCAGGGGAAGGTGGTGTGTGTGGGGGAGTGGGGTGGGAGGTGGTACAGTGGGGAGGCTTTTTGCAGGTCCTAGAAACTGGGCTGGGCAAGAAGCAAAAGCCCATCTAAGATAGTCTGTGTAATTTTCTGATGCTGCAGCCCAAAGTTGTTAACTGCTTCCAAACTGTGCTTCTCCTTTTGCCTCTCCACTGAGCTTTTTGTCTTAAAATCTGCTGCTGCTACTCATTGGTGGTGGCCCATAGATCAAAAGTGGATGGATACCTGCATGCTCAGAGCCAGCCTAATGAGGCTCCTCTCTCCCTTCCAGGATGACCATTGATGCGAGATGTTCCCTCCACATGTTCAAATTTCCAATGGATTCTCACTCTTGCCCTCTGTCTTTCTCTAGCTGTGAGTACCTTCTTAGGTTTCGGGGAACCCAGATATATGTTGGGTCCCTTCTTTTTCTCCTCTTTGCCTTTTACATTTTTCTGCTTCCGCTTTTCTAAGATGGTGCCAGTGTCGTGCCAAGCTTCCGCCCCGCCCCCACCCTCAGCGCCTTCCCCGTGTTGCTCTACCTGAGCCTCATGCTTCCGTCCTCCTTCTTCCTCGCACCCACCTCGAGTGAGCTGCCCGCTTCCGAGCTATGGCTCAGTGTGTCTGCTTCTCTCCATCTCTGCTGCCATTACCTTGGTTGAGGCCTTTGTCATCTTCCCCTTGGACTTTTGCAGCATCTTCGCCTTGAAATGGAATATATCCTGCTTGGAGTTTATTGTTTCCTCCCAACCCCTGCCTCCCAAACAAACATGTTGCTTCTGTGTGTTCATCTGTCTCACTGAAGCCAAGAATTCGATGCTTCCCTGTGTTCCCAAGCTGCATCTAATCAGCCAACACATCGTGTTGGTGCTCCCTCCTGATTCTCTATTGACCCTTCCTCTGTTTCTCTTTCTCTGTAGTCTGATGGTCACAGCTTTGACTCCTGCCTTCATTCATTTTATTGTGCTTGGGTTGCTGCTCTAGCCTGTCATAGCTGGCCAACTCGCAAACCTGCTGAGCTCATGTAAGAACCAGTGTGACCTGGCTGAAGCGTCATCTAGAGTAGGTCACTCCTTCATTTGCAGTCCTTCCTTAACTCTCATGGAACAATTCTGAATTCCTAAAAATGACCCTCAAGGCACTTCATGAAGTGCTGGCCGCTGCTTCCTCCCCCTACCCAGCGCTTTCTCTGTGAGCTCACCATTCTGAAATTTTGCCATTTCTGCAATAAACCAGGCATTTCACCTTCCAATGCTGCTCCTCACCCCTTTCGCATCATCCACATGGGAATGCTTACTTGAGTTTCAAGACTTACTGGGGGATGTCACCTGCTCTATGCAGTCTTCTTTGGGTGTGTTCCCAAGTGATCTTCCCTTACTCTTCCTCACTGTTCTATGGGTAGAGGTTTTCCAGAGCAACTACAAAAGTCACAGCTATACTACTTACTAGCCATTGTCTTGCTCAATAAAATGTGGATGCTTGAGGGCAGGGCTTGCTGTGCCTTGCTCATTTGTGTATTTGCAGCCCAGGGACTCGTACTGAGGAATGCTCAGTAAATGCACTTAGTGAGTGGACTTCAACAACCAGGTAAGAGATACTGAGTCCCACAGCTGGTGAGACCAAAGTCAGGACTCCAAGGCATTACTCAGGCTGACTCCGTGCTGGAGGGGCCATCAGCTGGGCTTCCCAGTCTCATTTGCCCCTTCTTCCCTTACTGCTTTCCAGTTTCCTATTCGATGAACGATATGATCTACAAGTGGCAGGATAATTTCTCCCTTGAGATGAATGAGAAGAACACCTGGAAGCTCTTGCAGTTTGACTTGACTGCAGTGAGCAACAAGAGTGAAATCAAGACCACCCCGGCTGGTGAGTGTGGTGTGGGAGCCAGGGCTAAGTAGAGGCCTGGGGTGGTGGCACGGGTACGTGGAGATGGCCATCTATATGGGTATGGATGCTGTGCAATCACACCATCAGGACAAGGCTCCTGTCTTATAAATGCTGAGCACTTACAACTGTTTGCAGAGGAAACTGAGACTTTGCAACTATGTCTCAGTCTCATCTGCAAAGAAGTAAGTGCTTTGCCAAGCCCCTTGAAAGGATAGGTAAGTAGATAAAATTTTGCTGCTGTCAGATTTTGCAAGTAGCTTTCCATGCAAACCCTCCAGTTTCAAGGTCTTTATTACAACATTAAGTGACTTGGATGCGAGAGAATGGAGCTCACATAAGATTGCCAGCAGCAGCAGCTCAGGCTGGTCAGAGGGAAGCAAGGGCCATCCTAAGGGGAGGTGGAAGCTGGTGCTGTACTGGCAGCTGGGGCCTGAAGGATGTTACAGAAGCTACAGTGGCTGCCACACTGGCAATCATCTTAAAGGAGCAGCTCTGCACATTGCCATATTGGTGGCATAGAATTCTTGGTGGCCTCAGCATAGCCATAGTTACCGCTGGCTTTCTGATCTTGCCTCCAAGGAGGAGGAGAGGGGAGGAACCTGGGTCTCTTACCTTTCAGCTCCCAATCAGGTGTGAGCTTCTTTGCTTGTGTTTCCAGGTGATCTGGATGAGGAGCCAAGGGACCTTCCCAGAGTTGCTCCCAGAGCATCCCTGGAAAGCCTCTTCACGCGTACTGACCAAGTTCAGGGCAGTGGAGGCACTGCCCTCATCGCTTCCAGACGGTGGACGGAATCAATCACCCCCCCACCATTTGTCATGGGAGGCGCATTGCTTTGCCTCTCTCTGGGTAGACACAACAGTGACTTTTGCTTCCCTTGTTGAGTTAGTCACTAGGTGAAGGATCGCTCATGCTCACCTGGTTAGAGCTTCGCTTGCACAATACTAGGCAGGGGCAAGGGCTGCTTTGCAAATGCTTCCTCCTGCCCGGGGGTTCCAGAGAAGCAATGCTGCTGCCTTTAGAAAGATCGTGGCTCTTCTACCAGCTAACCTTGGGCCTGCCTTAGCTCTCTGCACCTCAGGTTCTCCAGATAGGTGCAAACTCTTCATCAAAGGCAAGAGAGGAGACAAGGCCCGGGGCTTTTAAGTCACTAGTGGTTCCGTTTAGTAGATAAATGTACACTATTTCAAATGGTGCCCTAGTGACTGCAAAGCCTCACGGCCAGCAGCATCACCAGATCAGTGACACTAGGTAAGCACCAGGTCTTCTTTCTCTTGTGCTGGACTCTTGTCCATCTTGAGTCATGGTTTTCCCGGGTCACTGTGATCTGCAGCGTTATTTTCAAACTGCTCTCTATCTGGACCACACTTACGTGCTTGTGTCCCAGTGGTTCAAAATGCAGTGACGGCTTGCTTGTCAGCTCACCTTGGGCCTTGAATCAGAGGACCTCTGTTTCAGGAGGTCTCAGGGAGTCCACCTCCACCCCCAGTGAGTGAATCATGCTCCCCTTACGGCTCTGGAGCTTCTGTGGAATTTTACAGCAGTCAGTTGTTGACTGTCTTCAAGGAGTTTTCTTCCTTCTGTAGACATCTATGCCCATCAGCAAACTCACTGTGCTCCTCTGAAAATGGGACCCTGGCAGTTCGACCCATTGGAACTGTATTACCCTCAATTAGGTAGAGTTCTGTCACACACTTCATCGCCCTAGCTCACTTTTTTCCCATGTTCTTCAAAGCCTTGGGTCCACTCATCCTTCTAGTCCAAGTCCTGGACTTCTTCATTTTCTCCCACTCACAGCACAGTGACCAGCTATGGTCTGGGCAAAGCAGGTGAGAGTGAGACCAGAAAACAAGTTTAGCTTATTTATGTATTTGTTTATTTATTTATTTATTTACTCCAGTTCCTCAGCCCCAGATAGCTTTCTTTCTTTACCTATGCTTCTCCACTCCTCAGGGAGAAGAATGTGTGTGTTAGCATTCTTTTCATGACTTTTGAAAAGAAATTTTTTAGCTTTGATAAGTAGGTAAGCTTCTTCTTTGGTTAGAATAAACAAAATTCAAATAGAGAAATCCAATAAAATGCTAAACCTTCTTTTGACGAGCACATACAAGCTCAGCAGTTTTGCAGGGCCAGGGTGGTTATGGCTAATTAGCAGGCTATTAAATTGTAATCAGGACCCCAGCGTTCTCTGCAGCATCACTGGGGGCAGTTTAGCCCCAGAGCTGGTACTTTGAATCTGAGAAGTTGTTTCCTGAGTGTCAGTGCTTCCCAGGTGAGTAGACATCTTTCTGTCAGCTCTAGCACAGCCAGACCTGCTTGCCAGCAGTGTCCTTGGCAGGACCAGCTTAGTGTTCTTGTCCACTTTCCCCACCTGTTGCAGACAGCAGCAGGAGTCATAGAGCAGCCCCTGGTTCTCAGGCTACTTCAGGCTGGGATGCAGAGGCTAAGCTGCAGGGCTTGAATGAGCACTGCCTTCAAGGGCTTTCAAAGCCCAGCTACTTCAAGGCCAAGGAATTCTGTGGGGGTCACTGAAATGAGAGTATGGACATACATTTCACAAAAGATCCAGGATTACTAGTGCTCTTGCAAAGACATTGTGATGTTGCTAGTGAAAAGTAAGGTCCTGTTTTATCCTAGACATAGATAGCAGTGTTCTGTCATGCTCTCCATAGCCCTAGTTCATTTTTCTCCCCTGTTCATCAAAGCCTTGGGTCCACTCATCCTTCTACTCTGAGTCCTCTTGACTCAGAAAAGCCCAAAAGGATCCATGGAGACAGGATAGCATGCAGTGTTTGGGGCAGATGGACCAAAGCACAGGCAGCCAGAGAGTACAACACAAGATGACAAGTGGAGATGTGAGTTGTCCTTAGGTCCTGTGGGAGCAAGAGTAGAGCCACATGCCCAAAAGAATGCAGAGACACGTCTCTCTTGTGGGTATGTACTCTGCAGATTTGACACTTAGATGGTTGGCTGAAAGGTTCACTTGCAGATAAATTTTTCTGTTTTTCTAAAAAATCTATTTAAATTAAGGTTTGTATATTAGTGTAAATATTCAGGCTATCTCAAAGAATCTTAGAACCAATGAGATTAGCTTTGAATAAAGAGCATGCGTGCATGTGCGTGTGAGTGTGTGTAAGACATGAGTTGGATTTGGGTCACATTGGGCCTTTAGAGTCAGAGTGCAGAGCTGATCCTGTAGCTCACATAAAGCAGGGTGCCACCAGAAGTTTGGGAGATAAAAGCATGCTCCCTTGGGGTATCTCCCATGGTGAAGCAATGGGTGCGAAGAAAGAAGGCCAGAGCCCAGGTGCTTTCTCCAGGCTCATCGCATGCCAGTGGCAAGAGGAGTCATTATTTTTTTTTCACTTTCACCTGACTCTCCTGCCATCCTGAAAGGAGCTCTTGGGGTGGGACAGTGAACCAGAAAAGAAGGGCTGAATGTGCCCTTGCCGTAGCTCTCAGCTAGCCCAGTGCTGTCTTTCCTCTGGGCTGCTTCTGGTCCCATGTGCTGCCCTGAAACAATGCATCACTGTCCTTGGGCTGTGGCAGGATACCTGTGAGTTGGGCAGCAGGACTCTTACTGCGTGCGCCCTGCTGCGTATCACACAATGCGATCTTTTATGTTTTCCAGGTGACTTCGTGGTTATGACGTTTTTCTTTAATGTGAGTCGGCGGTTTGGCTACGTTGCCTTGCACAACTATGTCCCTTCTTTTGTGACCACCATGATGTCTTGGGTTTCCTTTTGGATCGAGAGAGACTCTGCTCCTGCCAGGACCTCTTTAGGTGAGAGGGCGCAGCAGGTGTCACTGTGTCCTGACAGCGCTGTTGCCCACGGGGCAGGAGCTGAGCCCATATCACTGCTTGCTCTCACAGGAATCACCTCTGTCCTCACCATGACAACTTTGGGCACCTTTTCTCGGAAGAACTTCCCGCGTGTCTCCTACATCACTGCCTTGGATTTCTACATCACCGTCTGCTTCGTCTTCTGTTTCTGCGCCCTACTGGAGTTTGCTGTTCTCAACTTCCTGACCTACAACTCCAAGAAAGCCCATGCTTCTCCGAAACTCCGCCATGTATTACATGGGGCTGGGAGTGGTGGCAAGGTTTGGGTGTGCAGGCTTAGTGGCCAGGGCAGGCAAGTTATGGCACATGGGTGGCCAGATTCCTGAGTGTTAGGCGTTGTAGGGGAAATCAGCTTGACGCGATGGGTTGCTGGCATGCTGGGGACAGATTTGGTAGAAGGCCTTAAGCCTGTAGATGCCTGCCTTTCACTCTTCACTTTTTTCCCTTTTCTGTTGCAGCCTCCTATCAGCGGCGCCCGCTCCTGTGCTCTTGCCCGTGCCCGTGCCCGCCAGCAGGAGGAGGTGTTCATGTGCGAGGTTGTCACTGAGGGAAGCAGTGGAGAAGACCGTGTGTGTTACTCGCTCCAGTATCTCCCCAGCCGCCAAGCCCCTGAGGTGCCCCGTGGCAGATTCTCTCGCTGCCTCAAGGCTTTCAGGAAGTATTTCTGCATGGTCCCTGAATGTGAGGCCTGCACCTGGCAGAAGGGGCGCCTGCGCATCCACCTGTACCGCCTGGATAACTACTCCCGGGTTGTTTTCCCGGTTGCCTTCTTCTTCTTCAATGTGGTCTACTGGCTTGTTTGCCTTAACATGTAGGTGCCAGTAGGAGCCCTGTGGGGCAGACTCCCCAGTTCCCCGGGAGGTCCTAAGCCCCTTGCCAAGGGAGTTGGGGGACAGCTGCAGCAGCAGGAGCACCTAGTGTTTTTCCTTCCTTGTTCCTCAGATACAAATCTGCGAAGAGTTTGTCTTTGGTGGCCCTCTCCCCATGAGCGCCTTCTGGGCACTCCCTTTCAAAGAGTTTCACCCACCTCTCTTTGTTCTTTGAGGGGCATTCCCAAGGCTCAGTCTTCGAGATGGAGATCACAGGCTTTTAAAGATCAGCTCCCGAGAACCCTTCCCACCCAGGAGCGGATTAGCTCAGGCCAGCTGTGCTGACAATCACTGCCTTTTCCCAGAAATCCAACACTGCCTTTGTGGTGCTACAGGCCAGGCTCAGGCCTCAGCCTCAAAGGTCACAGACCAGCTATTTACCTGACCCTGAAACCTCCTTAAAGGGCTAGACATGAGTACAGGAGGATCCTACCCTAAGATTTTTCCTATCTCCCTACCCTCCCTCCCCATCCAGATAGACAGGCACTGGTATTATCTCCTTAGGAGGAGGGGAGCCAGCAAGTGGGTCTTTCGGGGACAGCATTCCTCCCCTCTGCTGCTGTGACGCCTCCGGCCCCCTCCCTGCTTCCATCTGCAGCACCTATTCAATGCCTTGCATCCAGTGGGAATCTGTCTATTTTGATGTGTGGTGATATTTATTACCCCCTGCTTTTATGCCCCTTCTTCCTCTCCCTTGACCCCTGTGATTTTTTCAGTAACTTCCCCAGTGACTTTCCCAGCCCTATCCAGGTGCTAGGCTTTGGTATTTCCCTGGGGCCAAGAAACGAAAGAAACTCTGCTCTGCAGTGGGCATGACCCACCATTAATTGCTGCTCACTTTGGGCACAGTTGGACTTTGACGGCTTCCTTGGCCCCCGGACCCATGAGCCAGTCCATTCTTATCCTTGGGGCACTCACAATTACACCCAATCAATTGACTTCCCTTAAATTTGTACAGCACTTTACCTCTGGAGAAGCACTTTAGACAAATCCTTTCTATTCAAAATCTCATTATAGCCCTGTGACATCGTCAGGGCAGGATTCTTATCCCCATTACGCAGATGGGACCCCTGACGCACAGATTTCTATGGGACTGTAGACCTCACTGGAAGCCATCAGGAGCCCACTGTCATCTTTTAGATCACATGGCAGGGCGAGGCAGCTCTGATCACAATTTTATTCTTTTGCTTCTACCAGCACCCCAGATTGGCAGGCCCTTTTCACTATTGACCTGCTCTATTTCTGGGCTTGAGATGCTCAGACTGCCCCTATATGGACCTTCTCCTGGCTCTAGTCACCCAGTGAGATCAATTTGGATCATAGCCCCAATGCTTGTATATGCTAAATGAAATCTGTGTCTGTATTTTAAGGTGGGTGGGTAGGGTGGGGATCCATCTGCTTTCTATCACCATCATCTGAAAAGGGGAATATATAAATAAATCAATCAGCAAAGCATTTAAGGTGTGCTTCATTACTTTGGCGTTCAAGTTTGTTCCCAGTTCAGGTTTTGAACTTGTGTCTGTTTCCTTCTCCCATATATGCCTTCCAGACATGTGTGACCAACCAGGCATGCGTGAAGGATCTTTCAGCAGAGCCAGGGAAGGCTGTGCCTGGGTGGGTGGCCCCTTTCCAGATTTCCTGACTTGGTCCTGTGTCCACTCCCTGAGCCTTGCTTCTTTGGTCCACCGCCAAGCCCCCCACCTTGTCAGGGCAACACTGGGCTTACCCAGCCCATCCCAAAACAGAGGAAAGGGGTCCAGGCTGAAGCACAAAGGAAAGGAGAGATTTGTCTCCTGCAGTACAGCCAGTCAGTTGTGGAACGCCCTGCCTTGATGTGCAGCGAGCTCAGACACCTTGGTTGACTTACCCTCGAAAGGTATGCTAGAAGTGTGGCCCTGGCATCCTGTGGCACTTCTAACTCCACAGAAAATCAAGCAAAAACAGCAAGCAAACAGGGGACAAAAAAGTTGTTGGAACAGCTGACATCTGTGTTGTGAAATCCTCAAAATGATGCTTAACCCGTTCCCTGTAAGAAACCCACATTTCACAGGAAATTGTGATGCTCTAAGCTACAGAAAATTACGAGTAACCATGTTAGAACAAAGGAAACTGTTTCTTGGCTTTATTTTCATGAAATGCTGCAGGTGAGAGCAGGACAGCTGGACCCCTGAGCAAGCAGGCACGCGCATTTGTGCGCACTCTTGCTGCATTTTGAAACACAGGAGCAGTACAGATCAGATTCCTTAATTGCATTATAATAAAGCTTTGAATACAGAAAATCCATGTTGTTTATAAATTTTGAAAAATTCACATAATCAGTTTTGAAAGAGAGGAAATTAAAACCATAATTGGGTGCATATGTGCAAAAATAAAATTAATGAGCCAGGTGTGGTGGCACACGCCCCTAACTCCAGCACTCTGGAGACTGAGGCTGCAGCTACATAGTGAGTTCAAGGCCAGCCAAGACTACACAGAGAGACCGTCTCAAACACAGCCAATAATGTAAGCAGTTCAGGCTAGATAATATAGACAATAACTAGGTTAAGCATTGAAAACGAGAAATTAGGAAAAGGATAAAAATAGTATTCCTCAGAAAATTTCTGAAGCATAAATACTATAATAATTATATACTGTTTATGTTATAGTATAAATAATATAACAATAAACAGTATCTTAAAAACAGTGGACAAATCTGAGTACCTTCCTCTCTTTTCACATTCAATACAGATATATGAAAGAACTGGAAAGGTTTTAAGAAAGCCCTAAAGGAGCTCCCAAGATAATACAAATGAATATGTTTATATTTGGGGATGGGAAGTATCCTTCTAAGCATCACATAAAACATCAGAAACTATAAAGAAAAAATACATCCATGCTAAGAAATAATAATTTAAAAAACCAAACACTGTGTAACGAAGCAGTGTCATGGGTGAGTTTTTCTGAGAAACACTCAGATCTGGCCTGGAATGTAAGAAGTTCACTGGAGACACTCTTACATCAACACCATCGGGGACGTGCTGAGCACACGGCCCACTGGGAAATCAGTGAGGCACCCATTGTGAGGACAAGTGCCTCAGCTGAGACACGTGGTGATTCTAGAGCCGACCACATGGTTCTCCCCAGTTGTCACAAGTGAGGGCAAAGGGTCAGGCCCTTGCAGTCCCTCTCTGGATGTGAGATGAACTTGGAGAGACATCAGTGAACAGGGTGGTGTGTCTGAGAAACTTGGCTGAGGGTTGTCAGCTTCCAACAGTCCTAGCAGCTGAAGAAGCAAGGTCTGTGCTAACAGGCTTTGGCGAACAGCATCTCTGTGGTGCCGCACAGTGACCACCGTAGTTCACCCCTCACCTTCCTCGGGCTCACGTGCTTCATAGAAATTAACTTCGCCCAGTGAGTCTCTTCTGACAAGGAGGGCACCACACCTTCTGTAGTATGTGGTGGGCAGTCCCTACCTGGCACACTTGGACAGGACCAAATCCTAATGAATGCATTGTGGCCACCTGAGCAAAACATCCCAATGGGGGCAATCCTGTTGTTAAGTCAGGCGTTTGAAGGTTGTGGAGACAATACTGTTTATAAAGAGTAGAGCTGGCCAGTTGTAACTAATTTGTGCTGCTATCCTAGAGAGAGGTAAAGAGAAACTACGGATCATCAACAGAGCTTAAAGGGTGAGTGGCAGAGTAAAAAGTCCTCTTTGGAAACTTGCAAAAAGGACTTAGTCTCCCCCAGCTGAAGAGCAGCTGTAGGTGAGAGGCAAAAGTGGTACTATGGGATTTCTAGAGATAAACTAAACACCTAGCTAGCACGGATTAGGCTAAAAGGATGGCTTCCCTTGGGAAAAGCCTGAAACACTGAGTGGGGTAATCTGCATGGGTGCCATCAAGGACTGAGGCTTTGAAACTCCCTTGGAACTTCTGCAGAGGGTGCAAAGGTGCCAACCTTTTCCTATTAAAAGCTAGCACTTCCGCAGTACTGGAAGATTCTTGAGAGCCATTCATCGGGGAGAGGTGTTCTCTTTGGAGGCTGCCCATCTTCCTATCTGGGCGGATGAGCCAATGACTAGAGTTAAATCCAAGCACAATAACTAGGGAAGACCTAGGTCTGAGAAGGGAGGGAAACTATTACACTGTGGATGAGTTGCAAAATTAGCTGGCATGTTCCAGAAGTGAGGTGAGGAGTGAGTGCTGGGACTTGGTTTTGAGGATACTCTATGAAGAGGATCAGAAGAACAAACTGAGAATCAGAAATCCATGGACCTGGGGACAGTTTGTCAAGACACGAGATTTTAATCCTAGCAAGAATCCCAGAGAGGTTTTTTGAAGCCTGGAGACAGGGATGACCAACCCTGTGTGAAGCAGAAATGCTTGAGTTGCCTCGGCAGATGCAAAAGGCAAGGATTCAAAGGCTGAGGGAAACGGGCTTGTTACAAAGGAGAGGTTAGTCCTGGCTAGTAGGTGAGTCCAGAAGACTCTCACACACAGGGAATTATTCTCCCAAAGTGACCCATAGGACTTGTGATTTCCCAAAACCATGAGGAATGCATTAGTTGAGAGGAACCAACATCAGCGTAAAGCTCAGCAGTGTTCTCCACAAGCCAGTGCTGACCAGAGCACAGATGTGGACTCAAATGGTCTTTGGGGCTAGTAGAGCAAAGATACCATGGACTGGGTGCCTTATAAATGACAAATTTATTTCTTACAATTTTGGAAACTGGAAGGTCAAAGGTCATGATAGTGTCAGAGTTTGACTTGAGAGGGCTTGCTTTCTGGTTTACAGCTATCAGCCTTGTGCTCTCAGAGAGTCAAAGGTCCAAGGGAGCACTCCAGAGACTCTTCTGGAAGGTCCTCAATTCCATTCATGAGGCCTTCAACCTCGGGATGCAATCACTTTTCAAAGGCTTCACCCCCTAGTACCATCACACAAATACGGGGACAAGAGTGTTCAGTCCGTAGTAGATGACTCATGGAAACAGGAGTGGTTGCGCCCCAAGCAATTAAGGCCTAGCAGAGTGCACATGACCAGAAGATAGAGCCTGAAACTACCTTACGCAGCAAAGTCAGAAAGGCGACCAGGGGTGTTTGATTCGTAGGAAGCTGTGACCACAGTTAAAAGAACAGGCAAAGATACAGGAACGGCTCCCACAGGCACTACTTCCCATCTCCATTCAGAACGCAGGAATGCAGGAAGGGAAAGATAAGGGTGACTTCCCAAATACAAACGTCATGGTGCTTTGCTCACTTCCTGCACCTGAATGGATTTTCAGAACATTAACTTAGTGGAAAAATAAATAGACAGATCTGGAGCAGGCGGTGTCGTGCAACACAATAGCGAGTAGGTAGTGTGATTGCACCCCCACTTCTTTCTCAAAGGACTTTCCAGCTATTTCCTCAGGTGACTGTACACTTGAGAAAAGAGGACAACAGCCGGGAAGATTTTAATAGCTATTGAACACCATAGTTTGAATAAAAATTGATACCAGAGTGCCAAAGTAGCAGTAGACTTCTTCGTTAGAGCTGAGAACTTAGGGAGACCATATAACAAATCAAGTCCTGGCTGGAGAGTAGTAACTGTGAGTGGGTCCAACAGTTCCGCAGAGAGATCCAATCATCATCTTTCCGTCCTTGGAGTGAACAATTGGAATTGGGCACACGGAAGTAAGAGTAACTGCTATTCCACTTAGAGTCCTTGATGTATGCTACAAGAAGTATCATAGTGGTAAGACCAGGTAGAAGCCTCTAAAAATGCCCTATGTGAAGATAGTAAATAAAAAAAAAATTATCATAGACCAGGTGGGCATGGTGCTGAGATAATTTGTCTCAGCATCAAGAAAAGTAACTAAGACAGATGTTTCCATGGTATTTCCATTTAATTAATCAGTCTGGACCCTAAAAAATCTAGGACTCTGGATATTGACAACAGCTTGCCACAGGTTTCATTAAACAATAGTCCGATCACAGCTGCTTCACCATAGCAGCATTGCCTGACTAGGTTAATAAATCCTAGGGTATAGGTCATGCAGCAATGAATTTGGCAAATGCAGGTTTTCCTTTTCAATTAGAAGGGATCAAAAACAGTAGACAACCCCCCAAAGAAACAGTAGACAAATGAGAATACCTATTTGTAGTTTTTCAAAAACCTATGCTGATACTCACACCACCAGTCATAATATAGTCATAAAAGACCTAAGCTGCTAAAATATCATGACAAATCCCACTCCTATTTGTCACCTAGCTGCATGATACTGATTGGACAGGATAGGTAAGAGGCAGCCAACACATGGAGGACTTGATAAGACATTTAAAAAAGTGAGGGACAAACCCT